TCGCTGATATTTGGTGCTGCTTGATCATGTACGATGTTCCAAAAGTGGGTTCCAGTTTCTTAATGATTTCAGTTCGTTCTGATCCAAGGACGCTATCTACATCCAGCCGAGTACTATCAAGCATGCATGTCCATATGTCCACAACAAGCTCTTATTCATCCTATTTTTTCCGCTTATTGTCAGCCGTTGATCAATCCTGAGAATGCCGAATTGTTGTCCATCGGGAACACGTCAATATTTCGATCGCTCCACTTCATGGACATGAAGTTTCTGCACGTTGACGATATGTGAGTTGAACCTTCATAATGCATATATGGAAACAATTCAGTTGTATGCCAGTGAACGTGAAATCAAATTTGCGATCGTATCTATGATCACAGTGAGTACTGGCAACTTGTTTCGAATCATCCATGTAAATGATCATGCTTCAACCACATTTATTCGTAGCCAATTTCAGTGGCGTTCATCACTTGGGATATCGAAATGAAAAATTGGAAGGTGATTCGTGGTATCGTTATCTTCACCCAGATCATTTGCGAGAAGTTTCATATAAACATCGTTTATGTATGTTCACCGAAAACTTTTGCTGACATTGCGCTTTTCCTCCTTTTGGCTCTTATTTCTTGAAATGCACTCAGTCGATTTATTTTCACTCATGACAGAATAAGTGGCTGATGATTTTCAGTGTGTCAAGACAGAGAAGGTTCCACCATTTGTCTTCTGCGACTCCAAACAAGCACTGGTGAATGGCTGTGGCTGCACACCGTTCTCACCATCAAAGGCAATTTCTTGCATCAGCCTCAAGATGGCAGGCGTGTTCGACATCTTATCCATGCTACATATCAGCTTGTTAGGTTGTCGCTAGCTATTTTTATTCAGAAAAAAATTGTAAAGGATTTGGATTTAGTCCCACTGACACTAATTAAAGCTCCTGGAGATTCAAGCCTGAACAAAACATCATGTTTCTTCAAGAATTTATTCACTGAGCTATGCTCCACTCGTCGACCAGTAAGGAATAACCTCTCAAAATTATCCAATAAATTATCAGAATAATCATTGGGATTATGATGCCCTTCCAATTGTCAGCGGTTCTCCTATTCAAGTTTGTTTTAACTGAACACGAAAATATGGACTTTGTTTAACGCGAAAAATGCTATTTACACGTTGAACTGATTCCGTGTTTCAGTGAG